GGATGAAACTCCCCACACATGGGGGCATGATTATTTTATTAGGTTCGGCCCCACCCCATACGTGGGGAGCGTCATTAGGGGCGTCAACCTGGATGTACACACAACATTATTCATGTTTAAATATGCAAATTATACCAAACCCAAACATAATTAGCACTTTGGTTTAGTTTCAAACTGCAGCTTGGATATTCTCAAATGCTCTTATAACTCTAAAATTTCTTTAATTTACATAATTTTTAAGCTTACATTGAAACACCTTGATAGCTGATGATGTTACCATTAAATGAGAAAGTTCAAAGGCAAAAGATTTATGAGCGGGACAATCACGGTTTCTGACTATTCTTTAGGCTTTGTGATAATGGAATGTCCGGTTGTTTAGGTTTGCAATTAAAAGTTCAGAAATCAAAATGATTGGTTTGGTTATTCAATATGATTGGTTTGGTTATTCAAATTGATGCGTGCATGCTACAATGAAATGTGTAACTCGTCATTTATTCTGCTTATAATTTAACTGTTTGTGGACTTACACTTCCATATGCTAGAACGGTTTAGTTTTAATGTTTTTAAATTTCAAAATCTAAACCAAACATTTTAGAACAATTTGGCTCAGGTCACAATCGTAATAGTAAATCTAAACCAATGACCATAGAGGCTGATTTGGTGCGGACTGAGGATTTATGCTTACACTCTAACGAAAAGTATATTTTAAACAATAGAAATGCTATTTGTACACTGGGGTTGACACATCGGTTGGCCCAGCACGACCCTTTAAACAATAAGAAAAGAAAACATATTTTAAATATAATCCTTGTTTGACGGAGATTAAAATTAAAATTAATTTTAATTTAAAGCAAAGTCAATAGCTATTTTTAATCACATATTTCTTAAGATTCACAACTTTTTTATTATACATTTCATCACTTTTACCAAAATCTACTAGACATCTTATTCTAATTCTCATCAATAGGGGCATAATAATAATTCTATTTTAAAATATAGTGAAAGAGTAAAATAATAATAAAAAATGTATATTTACCTTTAGTTGACAGATGGAATCTATTACAAAAATGTTTGTTAGCACAAAACGGCCCTACATTTGATTTTTAATATTGCTAATGTTCCAATGTTTCAAATTTTTACATTTTCACCTTTATTTTCAATGTTTCATTGTGAAAAACATCATTTTTCTCAATTTTTATCCATTTTCTAAATAAAAATCTGAAAAATGACAAATATACCTCCTTATTTAAATAAAACAAAAAGAAAAGAAAAGAGAAAAATAAAAAATAGGCCTAAATTTTTCAAAAAATTACGAATGAGTACCAAACAAATAATTAAAAATCAAAACTAAAAAACAAAAAATAACTTCATCTTCTATACAATGTCATCGGTGTGTTCTCTGTCTCTTCCATGAACTCCATATGTAATGACATTTTCGCTTTAAGACAGAAACAGAGAATTGCATGTTCATAATTACTGGTGATGTTAATGTTGACACACAAAAAACATCAGAAATTTTGGGGCATATTAAGATGAAATTGATGGAAGCCCGTTGTTGCAGCAGGTGCAACGTAATATAACGAAATCGGAATGGATGGTTCGCAACAGTGGTTCAAAATGGATGGTCCGCAACAGTGGGAACCACTGCCAAAATTAACGATAAAAGGAAGTGCGTTCCACGGGACCAACTGCATTTTGTTTGATTTTGGCCGTATAAATTTATTACTAGTTCAATTGGTTTATGAGAAGGTGTTTGGGGGGTTGATGACAGCTATTTGTAATGTGAGTTCCAGCACTTTAGGTGACGGTTGGTGAGATGAAGACCAACGATTCCACGAAGTCTCCAAAATAATGAGTTGAAGATGAATTTTTTTTTTTTTTTNAACATTTTCAAAAAGACAGAAGAAAAACAGGTGTTTATGGGCCATTTTGATTCAAAAAGTCAAAAAAGTGCAGATAATTTTAGTGCATGTTTCAAGGAGAAAGATACGTTAAAACTTAAAAGTTGAATGAGCTGGCTGATTTGTTCCCTCCATTTTTCTTCGAATGGATGCCAAATTACACATTTCTCCTTTTTCGAATATTAATATATTATCCTCATCCTTTGTTGTTTGTGCTCCTTTCGACTTTTCAAAAGTCATGTTAAACGAATACTAAACTCTTATTTGACAATTATTATTTGAAAATAATATTTTGAAAAGTAATTTTTAGAAGAATGTGTGATTAAAAAATAGAATTATTTTGAATTTAAACGCATATATTTTATCATGTAAATCTATTATTGAAATGAATATATAGAAAAAAGAACTTTCAAATAATAGTCAAACAGAGGCTAATTGCCCTCATTGAAATTAAAATTTATTTATTATCTTTTCTCAACTACACACTTTTCAATAAAATAATATATTCATTTTTTAGTTTCTAACTATATCTTCTTGAAAAAATTATAATTCAAAAATACATTTTTCCCAGATTCTCGTTTTAATTACTATTTATTTTACTTTAATAGCAACCAAAAATAGTAATTCCTGGGGATAATGAAGGGCATTCTTGGAATGACAGGATTATGCCCCGACATAACCAGTTTTGTTTACAGTAATCAGCGTTCAGCAAACCCATCATTGCCCTCTGCTTTCCTCCACATACAAGTGTGTTTTTGTGTGTGAAAACGGCTGCTATAGTTTTTGAAAAACTCTCTTCTCTGTGGGGAACTTGAAGTTGAAACCATTTGTTTTAGTAATTTTCTTCCATAATTCCAGAAAGTAGAACAAGCATTTTACTACGCAAACAATGTTATCTTTGAGGTCACTGTTATTTTCTATTCTACTTGTTTCTTCCACTCCTTTTTCATTTTCAATTGCACAATCACATTCTCTCACTCTTCAATCACTTCATACTTCAGGTACATACACATTTTTACTTTTTTAATGATTTTTGCTTAATTTTCCTTTCTTATGATTTTATTACCAGTTTTTTGCTCATTTTCTTGGAAAATCTTGCAGGGACCAATGGGGTTGTTTTTTCTTGGGGGAAAAATGAAAGGTTTCTTGATGAGGATTCCACTGAGTTAGAATTGAACTCAACTCTAGTGTTGGCGGCAGAAAGGACCTATAGAAAAGACCCTCTTAATGATTTCAAGAAGTACACAGGAGGCTGGAACCTCGCTGACCACCATTACTGGGCTGTAAGTGTTCAAAGTTTTCAACTTCTCTGTTGACAGTCTTAAATTTGTGTGTGACTGTTTGTTTGTGTGATAGAGCATGTTTGGCTCATCCGAGAAAAGGTAAGATCACTTTTAAATAACTTAGTAGCTCCAAAATGTTCGGATAACTTATATTTTTCTTAATTTTAAGCAAAAAAAAGTGACTTTTTTCAGAAGTAATCTTTGCTTATTTCAAGTTACGCTAAAAAAAATAAAAAAACAATTATTTTAAAACTCTCGTTTTTTACTTTATGTGAGAATGATCGAGCCCATGAGGACCAAAAAGGGTCATTTTCAAGCTCAGGAAATAAATTCACCAGATGAATTGTAGGACTAATGATGTTGGCGAGCTACAAAGATAGTATACACGGAAGCGTTTGTGGAAAACTGTCAAACCCCTTTGTGTGTGCAAGGGGATCCTAATATATAGACGAATTTGAGGCGGTCAAACAAGAACGAGTCGCTCGTCGGGAAGGTTATGTGGCGATTGCCTTAGGAATTTGGAGGTTGGCTTATTACAATGAATATGATTTTATCCGGAATTTTTTTTGACTAAGGAAATGCATAGATAGGGTGTTCTCGGGTCTCCCCTTAGCTGAGTATGGATTGACCATGTGGAGCCATGCTCTCAAAATCTTCCACTGGCAATGCTTTAAAAAGCACGATCATGGTCAAGTAGTGCTCAACCCCATCACTAAATGCAGTGGCTACAACTCATGTAAACATGATTTTTAAGGTACGACCACGGCTGAGGTCAAAGCCTATGAAATTCGGACTTATCTTCATCCTCCCGTGCTTTGTGGTATTTCGATGGTTTAGTTTGCGGATTTCTTTTGACTATAAGGTAGAAATATATGGCTAGTCCCCTACTCATTATTGATGTATCTCGACAGTGAGAAGCTATGAAGTCAATTGAAAGTTTGCTAGATAGTATTCAATGTCTTACAGAGAACACTTCAGTTAGTTAAGTTTGTATTAACTCGACGATCAACACACAACTCAACTAGATACCTTACCCTAAAGGCATGGCAAGCAGAAAGAATTAGCCAGCCATGCTTGACTAGGTCGTGTACGAACGACCAGTGGCGAGGTAGATTGACAAGTGTATGATCATCGATTGTCTAGAGGTTGCCTTACGGGCAACAACAAAAATGGTTGTTGATTTCTTGATTGTGACTCTGCGTATGGCCATTAAGGAAGGAGATCAAGCATTGCTCGACCACCATATTGTCCTACCATGTTTAACCATAGCCATATCTCTGGCATGGCTCAATCTCAACTTGATCGAGCATTGTGGGTGAGCTGAAAAGGATTTATGTCTACTGATCTATGCTTGATTCCCTCAATCAAAACAAATCACTGTTGGGAATCTACTTATACATGCACAGCGGAATTTAAAATAATTTTCAATTCCCACCAAGAATCGCCTTTGTGTTTAGATAGAAATTGTGATAAGATTGTACATTTTTCAGATCTGCAAATTTCTTTGCTATTCTTTTCGTTCCAGCAATCTTGATTCGCCATCCACAGCTGTGCAATTGTTTAGCCTCCAACGGTAATCTACACAGAGAACAAGTTGCAGCTGTCAGGGTTTTCTTACTTGTGCCAGCAAGAATAATGAAAACTATCTGAATTGAAAACCCTAACCTTTTATTTATATAAGCCCAAACGGGATCGGTCCGGTCCAATATTTAATTAATCTAATTAATTAAACCCTATCCGTGAATTAATTAATTCAATTAATTAATTCGGGAATATAAATAACAAATCCAATTAATTAATTTATTCAACGATTGTTAAATTAACCAATTGACAATTTGCAATCTTCCAATTCTCTTTTGTGTGCGACCCATTAGGTTCTCGAGTACGATGCTTAACGACGTGAAATATTATTTTGATATAATCAAAATTGATAAATTAAAACACCCTTTTAATTTATCGTCAATTCATACTCGCCGTCCCTGATTGACATCTAGCAATGTGTCAGTGCAATACATGTGACGAAAAATGTCACGTGGTATGACAAAATCAAACTCGTTCGTTTACCGTGAAACTATAATCCCTTCGTCAATATGATCCGATAAATTACGAGATATGGAAGTGTGTCAATTTCGATTATCGATCATATCTTTCACTCTACTATTAAGTCAATATAAGTCGAAAGTTCATTTTCGAGTTATGAGTACACCTTGGCCAAGGATTTCGTTATCGACTTAATTGAATGAAATGCAGATCATAATCTTCTACTATCTAAGAGTGACGAATCATTTATTGGTCAATCACAACCTTCATACGATTCTTGACGTACCCGAACGATGGTATTAGCGGCCCTTTGCAGAGCAACATCCAACACCGCCAAAGTATGATTGTCCTTATATAAGGTACCATGACGACCTCAAGTCTAAGGACCAATTCCACTACCGAACGTTAGAGATTAACTACTGGCACTCAGATAGTTATCCACGTGGAATCTCTCGACGGATCTCCAATGTTTTGTTCTATAACAAAACATCCACGTGTTCATTTAAGTGTCACTACACTTTAACTTGTGAGATTAGCTACTTACTTCACAAGTAACAAATGCCACACGTGATAGTCTATCCATAATAACGATATCCGTATCTCGATATTACTTACGACCACGGATGATTTAAAATTCAATCAAATGTAATTTGTATATGACAATCACAACTCCTTGTGATTAACAAATTACAAAGATTTGAATTTACGAACTCTATTATTTATTTAATTGTCTATTAATTAAATAATAGATCTGCCATTTAATTACATTAATTATATATAAAGTATTTATGTCCAAAATTGATTGGACTTAGGGCATAATACTTACAATCACAGCAAAAGTCAAACTCCTTGTAAGCTTTTCACATGAAGTGTCACTTTTTCATTGAATCACTCACTGCCATATATTGAAGGTATTGCCATGTGGCCCTCCCGATGAGTGACAATGTCTATTTTTAACATACCTCTTATTCATTTATGAATAAGGGTCTGTTGTACATAACAATGTATATTTAACAAATAAAAAGGAACGATGAAGTGAAACATCCAAGTGATTTTAACTTTCTCATGGTACTAAGATCAAAATATTATATTATTTGGATGCCAAATTAAAGCATGATAAAACAAATGTCAGCTTTTATTTCATTAAAGGTCCAATTATTATTATATTTTTCGCCATTTATGAATTAGGGTCATAGAGCCACAGGGTGTAATAGTTCGTGCTTTATTCCATATCACAACATTGCATTCCTCTTAGATAGGGTTCTTAATAAACATGTCCTTTCTTAGCATTAATTAGGTGAAAATATTATCAAAGATCATATTAAAATCACTTTCATTTACAAACATATATACTATTGATATATGAATCCATTAAGAAACAATTCTTTTTCTTACAGTAAAACATGGAAGCCAATCGAACAGATCGGATTTCTATATAATCAATTCGATAATTTACTGATGAGATTCTAAATCATATATAAAGAACCTGTAACTATTACATGCATGATGCACATCCTTATCTAGAATTCAGAATCTTTATGTTGAAAGCAGTGGCGAATCTAGGAGTTTGAGTCAGCACGGGCGACCGTTGATCATCTACCGTTGGTCGTAATAAAATATTAAAAGTCCTTTCGGTATCCATTTTTTTTGCAAAAAAATTTATTTTGGAATAGTGATTTGATGGAGAACGTCTGAAAGTGTGACTAAAAATGAAGAAATTTTTTGAATTTACGTGTAATATTATTTTATTGAAGAATGTATGGATGAAAAGAATAAAGAAAAATGTAGTTTTAAAAAAAGGGTGAATCGAATAAGGCTTAAAGTATAAATATATCAATTATTTTGTTCAAAATGAATATATATAATTCTGCTATAAGAATAAATAGAACTCATCAAATAACATTGTTGTCAAGTTTTGTATAATTCAAAAGAAGTGTGTGAATTCGAATATTTAAAATTGTTTGCATTAAAACAATCAAAACCTAACAAATATCATTTTGTTAAATTTAGTAACACAATTCAAGAGGTACCATAATGGTTAAGTTCACCACAACCCTTGCTTGAGATCATGAGTTCGAATCCTTATTGTCCCTCTCTTATTGAATTTTGGTAAAAATTATAGAATAAAAATAATACATGACAAGTCCATTAACAAAGATTCGAACCTAAGACTTGAAGTATATTAAAGTTGGCTCTCACCAAGTAAGCTACGAGGATGTTTGAAAATAAAATCAATTACCAACAATATAAGGTAAAAATTTAATCTATCACTATAAAAAAAAAATAAAAAAAAAAAAATTTCCCGACGGATCCAGCTAGGGCGGCCACCCTCTAGATCCGCCACTGTTAAATGAAAGAGAAGATGGGAGCATTACTTTTAGCATTTGAAGCCTATGATACTCTCAGCATAATTTCATTATAAAAACTGAAGCCTGACGATTACGTGTGTAATGTAGAATGTGTACACGTGAGTTTAATTCCTAAGGCATCTTTCCTTTATCTTACTACATATGTAAGTTTTTGTACAATTGGCACAGACATGTTCCTAGAGATAGAGAACCAGGCTTTATCTATCCTGCTGGTACTATAATATTTGTTGATGTGTTGATATTCAGGTTTGTGAAGATATGTTAATCACTATCCATGTTTTTAAGCAATCGGAAAATTCCCGAGTCTTGAGGAATTAACTAATTCTTAATCTAGTGATCTCTAGTTTTTAGCCAATAAACTGCACGCCCATCCCTTTTAAGAGATGCCCATTAATCTCATACAACATCTATTTCATTGTAATTCATGTTTTCATGCAGTCTGTGGGATTTACTGCTGTCCCATTGTTTGGTTTTGCGGCTGCCTGGTTTGTAGTATTTGGGCTCTGCTTACTTCTGATCTGTCTCTGCCACTGTTGCTCTCGAAGGGAGCCATATGGCTATTCTCGAACTGCTTATGCACTCTCCCTCATTTTCCTCGTCCTCTTTACTTTGGCCACTATGTACTTCTCTCTCCATCTACTCTTTACTATGGCCACTTTGTAACTCTCTCTCTCCCCCCTTAGAAGCATGTTTAGCTAAGCTTGAAATAAGAAGTTTCTGTATCAAAACATGTTTATATATGTTCTTTTTTAACTTATGTTCAACTTTGACAACTTACAAGTCAACTTTTTAAGCTTAGCAAAACTGCTCTTCCTAATCTGTCTGTGACACACACTAAACGCACAGCTGTATTGCACACAATTGATTCATTCTCTTTTGTTCTTCATTGTCAAGCTAATTTGTTTCTTTATATTTTCAGCATTGGATGCGTGGTTTTGTATTCTGGCCAGGGAAAGTTTCATAGCAGTATCGTAAATACTTTGGGATATGTTGTAGACCAAGCAGATGCAACAGCTGAGAATCTTCAAAATGTTTCAGATTATCTTTCTGCTGCCAAGCAGATTGCAGTGGATCAAGTTCTTCTTCCATCTAATGTGCAATCCGATATTGATCAGATTCAAGCCAAGATAAGCTCTTCTGCTAGTACACTTGCCAATGAAACACAAGACAATTCGGAGGACATCAAGAATGTAATTGAATCTGTGTAAGTGATGCCATTCAGAATGTTTGTTTCAGCTTAATGGCTTTCGAACTGATTTTAGTTTGTATATTGTATGTTAACGCAGAAGGGTGGCACTTATCGTGGTCTCCGCTGTTATGCTTCTCTTAACAGTTCTTGGATTTGGTAGGCCTATTCTGACTTCTTAAGTTTACCGCCAAAAAATATAATACTGGAACTTGTTTTGATCACATTTTTGTCTGTCAACATGCTTACTTTGAACTTTCTCTTCAGCGTTTTCAATTTTCGGCTTGCAGTTTCTTGTGTACATGTGAGTGGTACATCTATTTACCTTGAATTTCTTTGCTCTCTGGAGTGTTTTTATTTTCAAGTAGGTTTACTACGTTTCTAAAAGAGTGCTTCAATTTTTTGTTGCAGCTTGGTGATTGTTGGATGGATTCTTGTGACAGGAACTTTCATAATATGTGGCATTTTCCTTCTTCTCCACAAGTATGTTCAATTATAGATTCCTTATCTATCTATTCACCTCTATGTCCTCTTGCTAGCTAGGTTACTTATACAATTGCTTAAACTGTTCATTTTCCCATTAAAGTGGCGAGTAATGTTTTTTGTAGTCAGACGATACTGGCAAAAGAAAATAGTGGATTACAACAAACTTGATTTCGTTTTTTGAGTAGGTAGGTTTTGAAATAGTATTTAACAATGTTTTGAAAATCGACCCGTCATGGACCGTGGAAAAGAAAGGGTAAGATAAAAGGGTCAAACAGGGTAGAGATCAAACTGGTGATTAAAAAAATAAAACCATATTTTGAGGTGAACCATCCACTTCTCGACTTATCTTAAATGGTTCACCTCTCATTTTTTCAGTTCTTTCCATTTTACCAGATTCGTTCCTGCTCTTTCTGCTCGAACCATCCTGTCGTGTTTTTAGTTAAACCTTTATAGCGTCTAACTTGAAATCATTTTCTTCCTTGTCTCTTTTTGTATTGCATGCTTTTTGCTAAAACATAAAAGTTTAGGCCCTAAAAGGGGATAATATATCCCTAATAAAATACCTGAAAATGGAACCTAGATTCCCAATATTCAGCCTGATGAACCTAATTCCTTACCCCCAGAAAATAGCCTTTTTTATTATGGAATAATTCCCTACTTTCGAGAGCAATAATGATTGCACACACTGACTGGCTTGTGGTCGTTCACCTCAAAGTGAGAGCTACATTCGCTAATTGCTGTAAGTTCTCACTCTAATGGAGCAGTAGTAGTTTAAACCTCTGTCTATGGCCCTCTATTGACCTTACCGCAAAGGTCGACCTTCTGCTAGTCACGAATAACGGTACAGTATAATTAGACTCCACACTATCCAACACCTTTTACATAGTTGCAATAAACTTCCAGGCAGGACTTGGGTGGGTGTTCTATGCTGGAAGGCAGTAAACTTAAAATTTAAGATACTTCCCCCTACTGAAAATTTCGGTTGGGAAAGAGGAGAAAACTGGGCATTCAAGTTTTCTGGTGCATTCTTCATACTGAATGCTTACTTTACTGTTTCTTTGAAAGATCCGTTGGAGCTGTTAGCCTTTGTTTCTCTTCAGTTGGTCAGCAAATTCGTTTTTCTTATAATTGGCATTGTCCTCTTTATTTTTTAAATCAAATTCTAATTTCTTACGTTACAATCACTGGCCGGTTTTTCATTTTAGTGTGACAGCAGATACTTGTGTAGCAATGGAGCAGTGGGTACAAAATCCAACTGCTCATACAGCTTTAGATGAGATATTACCTTGTGTGGACAATGCCACTGCACAAGAAACCTTAGTAAAGAGCAAGGAAGTTACATCTCAACTAGTCGAAGTAATTAACCAGGTCATCACCAATGTCTCGAACATCAATTTCTCCCCCAACTTCAAGGCTGTGTATTACAACCAATCCGGTCCGCTCCTGCCTACCCTTTGCAGTCCATTTAATTTTGACACGACAGATAGATTGTGTTCACCAGGGCAAGTGGATTTGAATAATGCAACACAGGTATTCACTAAATCCTTTAGAATTTTGCATAGCTGAAAAATGGCACTAGTAATTTTGCTTGTATGCTTGCCACTGCTGCAGAATATGCACTAATAGATTTCACAAGAATAAATTACAAGGGCTTGAATTTTGTGTTGTGGGTATTATATTGCATTAATTTGTGTAAACTACATTCTACTTTTACATGTTTCTTGATTTTAGAGTTGTGCTCCTGTGAGAAGTATATATGCATGACTTAAGTGGAACGGAGTCAACTATTTGAAGACGAGGATTTGTTTTTACTAAGGTTTATTAGCTCTTGCTGGAAGAAAAAAACACGTATATATCCTGCTTGTCTGAATAAACAGAGAGAAAAATGGATAAAATGGCGTAAGATTTATGTGGTTCCGCAATAATTCAAAGTATATACACATAAATATGCTTACAAAATAATCTCCCAGGCAAAAGCTGAGGACAAAGGTTGAGGCTTGCAAAATATTAATTATCACCAAGATGAGTAATATTATTTTTCACCATGCAGATATGGAGTAACTATGTTTGTCAAGTTTCACCAGATGGGATCTGTATCACTACCGGCCGTCTGACGCCGGCACTTTACAGTCAGATGGGTGCCACAGTAAACGTGAGCTATGGCTTGTCTCATTTCGGTCCATTCCTGGTTGATTTACAAGATTGTTCTTTTGTCCGACAAACATTCACTGAAATAAACGGAACGCATTGTCCTGGCTTGCGACGGTACAGCAAATGGATTTATGTAGGGCTGGTTATGGTTGCTATTGCATCCATGCTTTCTCTACTTTTCTTCTTAATATATGGTAGGGAGAGACAACACCGCATTTACACTAAAGAGCATATGCCAAAAGCAGCCGAAGGACTTGAAGGTAATAAGCATATGCCAAAAGTAGACGAAGGACTTGAAGATGATAAGCATACTTGAGGGGAAGAAGAGTTTCTTTTCTAGCTTCGTATATTTTCTTTCTTTCATGAATTAGAGTTTGGTTCATTTTTCAAAGATCTTGTCTTTGTACTCAATTTTAAATGCTGAAGGCAGTCTGTAAAGCCTTTGAAATGTTCACCATCAATGTATGTCGGCTCGTCGTGTAGAAGTTTCACACTTCTTTGTTTTTCTCGCATATGCAGAAAAGTGACCCTTCGTCGGATCCTTTAGGGGCTGGGGAGATCTAAAACAAAAGTATAAATATTTATATATTGTTGAATTTAATGATAATCATGCTAAGAATTAGGAATCACATCATTATAAATTGATGATTCGAATTTATATTTGCGGAAACCATCGTTGATATAAATAATAGTAGTTAGATTTTTCTCTCCTTGCTCTTCACAAAGTATAAGTCGTCAATGAGGCAAGCTAATGAAAATAATAGGAGGAGAAGAGACCTAGTCTTCATAGGAAATTGTCAAGTCGTCCCATTACGAATTAAACTCTAATTAGGGTTTATATATATTTTCGGTTCACATACTTCAAATTATCACATCATATTAAAAATAGCTCGTAAGGTGTAAAATGTCCCATCGATTACTTGATAAATTTGGTCCAATCACAAATATCATTAAAAGTTATATATTTAACCCGTAAAATAAACAATCAAATGAGAAGCCTATATTAGAATAACATATGCCCCCGTAAAAAAATTATTGCATGATTCAACACATTTATGATAATCATTTGTGTGATCACTGGCCTCTGTTTGATCGTATTATTGTCTAAAAATGATGTTTTAAATAGTGAATTTTGCAAAATGTGCAGTTAAGAAGTGCAAATTTTTTTAGATTTATATGCAAAATATTTTACTGTGTGAATTATTATTAAAAATGAATATGTAAAATAAATCATTTAGTTTTTTAAAGAGAGTAGGTTATTGAGCCTCTGTTCAAAGATTGCACAAATTCACAGTCGAGTTGATGAATGTAAATATTCAGGCCAAGTTTGGCAACTTCTTATAATTTGGTTATTCTTCATACATATCATGGTACCTACGACTACTGGCAATTTATTTATCACTTATTTTTATCTATTTACATTATTATAAAAACAACATGCTTAAGATACGGGCAATGGATCTATTCATACATAACGTTTATATCTAAGGTTTCACTTTAATAGTCGAGAAAATCAGCACTCTTTATCTTCTACTTTCCTCTTAATAAATAATTTATTTACAAATAAAAGATTATAATACTAAACTTATATTTTTCACATTTTCTCTCCAAGTCAATAAAAAATTCTGGTTTGTTCCTTGTGAATAATCATAATTCTAGTTATGATGAATTTTTCTTTTTCTAATCTTGTTGTCTTATTTCTTTATATTTTTTTGCTTTGAGAGCCTATATTTGGTACTGTAGTTGACATTACAATATACAAAATTTTAATTTGTTTCCTTCATTCTTAACAAACATGTCATATATTTATTTTCCCAACAAAAAAAAAAAAGATTATTCCTTCTTCACCATTGAACTAGTAACTACCTTATCTATTGGTCAACAATCTTTCTACTTATTTATTTGCAGGACCATACTTGTGTTTCGCGAGGCTTGAGACGACCTTCAGAATTTAGGCTCCTAAATCGTAGTAAGCATACAATTTTTTTCATATATAAGAACATTACGGAACTAAATTTGTTAACTAAAAATCAATAATAAAACAACAAATAAAACAAATTATTCAATATATTTCTATTACAATCAAATAACAATACGAAAATGTTACTAAAAGATAATTTAAATACAACTCGTCTTACCGTTTTAGAGAAAAAATTTCAATTAATTTTGGATAGTTGAGATGTTCAACCATTTCTTTTTCAATAGATAACATGGTTAATTCATTCCATCTTTGTTGTGACATTCACATACTTGGTCGGAGATAAATCTTGGTCAACTTCAACTTGGAGAAACTTCTTTTTATTGAAACAACTATAATCGATACAGTTAGCAAAATCTTATAAGCAATTGGGAAATAATCATTCATTTTTTTCCAATTAATGTAGCACATCAATTGTTTTTTTGTTTCTCTAGGTAAATAGCAATTTAAGATTGTCAACTATGCACATAAATCATCACCAGTAATGTCTAAATGTCCATTACGTTTCAAATACTGCTCAACAATGCCAGAAATTAAAAATAGTGAATGAACCAAAGGGCAAAGGCAAATTCATAGGAATGATGATATAAATAAATACATAATAAATAATAAACCAATAGATAGTACTATATCCATGAATCGCTCTTAAGTCATAATTCATAAATCAAAGGCAGTCCGCTATCCACAACCGTAGAAATCAAAAGCAACTGTAAACTAAGCACTTGTCCTTCATAAATCATAAGTTTGAAATGGTGCACTAAATCCTTTGTCAATCACTTTATTAACTCAAACTCAATCTCAAAAATTATTTCACTGAAGGATTTTGAAACCCACATTTCAAATGATTTGTTGAAAACTTCAAGTTTTCTCCTCCAACATTGAGTACGAGGGAAGTGTTAGAGACGACACTATTCAACAATCTTTAACATATCCAAGGCTGAAATCTTCCAATTCAGCATAATCTCAGATCCCATTTTGATTATCATCCATATTTTGCACACGAATTAGTTTTTGTTCATTATGAATTGTATATATTACTGCTTCAAACAAATGAAGCATAGACCAGTACAACCAATTAGTTGTGCTTGGTAACAAGATTTTCAGTCAGGAAGTATTTTTACCTTTTCTTTTCATATCAGAAATCTCAAAATCAAGTTTGGTAGTTTATTCCACTGGGGCTGAAATGAAAATGTGAAAGCAAGTTGCAATCTCCATTGAAAATGCACCTAGCAATTCGGCATTGGTTTATTGTGATTGGGCAAATATAGATAGTGCGGTCAAGATTGAAGAAGGATTCACATTGGTAAATTTTCATAGAAGAAAACACCAATTTGAAAAAGATCCTTTTGTTTTAGCATCACAAGCAAAAGAAGTTTTTTATTCTAGAAAAAGTGATACATCTATGATTGGTATATTGTATTACAGGAACCTCCTAGAGGATTTTATGAGTTAGAAAGTTTTGATGAGGATGCTTATACTCCATTCAGACTAGATGTATTCAGACTTGATAGGACTGTTGAAGATGAAGGTTTGTGTAAAATCGACCAATACCAGTGATGCTACACCAACAGGGATTGGTGACAGGTTTTAAAATCAGATGACACGTGTCAAGCAGTGATTGAACAGTTTAAAAAACCACAAAAAATTGAACAATACATGTGCTTAACACTTCACACCTGGATTCAAACTCTGTTTTGAATCTCTGTTTGAGTATTAATTGTTATGTGCTACATGGTATCTGGCTCCCTAGTCTCGATTTTAGTTATTATTGCCTGCAGAATGATACGATTTCGTTAGAAATTTCTTGCCTTCGACCATCACCTCACTTATAAATAAGCTGTGATCGTATCCGAATTTACTTGGATGGCAAACCAGGGAGAAAGACCGTCACTCCTCAGAATTCGTCAAGCGAAGCTTGAATACCTAAATTATAAAAAAAAAAAAAATTAATTTCATAGATTAAGCCCAATACTCATTGAAGTTCTGATATTGGTTCACAAAACATACATTTGCTGAAATGGGCATTAATTATACTGTGATTATAATTTTCACCTTTTTATCTGACTATTTTGAGTCCTATATGTATTTTTTTGGTAATTGTTGTGTAAGTGCTATAACACATTTTTTTTTTTTATCTAATTGCTATTTATTGTGTTTAGCTTTATAGGTTCGTTCATGAATTGATTAATTCATTTTGTTATGAAAGAATCGATAAGAATCATACTTATGAGCAATGACTTTATGAAAAAAATATCGTAGCTCGATAAATACCACTGCTTGTGATCTAGTGCATCACGTATATGAATGTTGGAGAGTTAAATTTAATGAAGTAATTGACAATATTACCTTATATCATCCCATTAATGGGTTCATTGTGGTGGCTGGTGTGAAAACCATTGATGATTATTCTTCAACTATCCACCAAATTGCTTATTATTACACGAGTAATGCTTTTGTAATCTCATATTTATTCTCATTCACACTTTCACCTGTATCACATTTTTTTACGACGACGTGGGATAGACGTTAGAATGTAGCAACCACGTGAACTTCTAGCATTAAATAATGTGAGAAAATTAGAAGTATCTTAAATTGAGACAAAATTAAAATATAGTGACCTAATTGAAAATTGAGTCAAAGTACCGCTACTATAAATAAATTAAATCCCAATCCTCGCTCAAGATTTTTGTCCAAGATAGTCCTCGAAAAGATGGAAAGAAAGAAAGAAAGAAAGAAAGAATCCTCTTTTTTCTCTGACCACCTATCCACCAAAACTTGTGGCACACTCTAATATCAAAACCAGTCAAGAGTCAAGACACCTAGACCTGCAAGGCTCCACACATTAAAAACTCGACCTAGATCGATTCGATAATATGTTAGCAAGTCGTCTATATCCTTTATTGCGCTCATTTTCCCTATAAAAAAAAAAATATTTTATAATTTTCTTTTTGATATTATTTGTTACCCCCCTATCAATCCTCATCTATTCCCCACTACTTTACGAATTCTCTCATTCTTTTCCAACGTTTCATACTTTCCTCGTAATACTTTCATTAACATTTGTTTAAGTTCTCTTTATATGTTGTTTACACTATGATTTTATTATTTCAAAATCTTACGACAAAAGATCCTATTTTTCCAAGTGTTAATTATATTCTCACAAGATATTTGTGTTTTTCTACTCGTTTGCTAATCACATTGCAGAACTAATACGACACATGCCGAAGTGATGGAACATTCTCTCGTGTAACCACTCTAGGGTGATGATTAGTATGGTGAAGAGAAATATATGTGAATATAAAAATTGCTAAAGTATGTCAATTATGAATTTAGCAAATACCCATTGGTAATCCATGCTCTTGTTGATCTTTCAAAAATTGCATAAAAACAGTTTCTAGATTGGTCAGTCCTCAAGCTCGACTTCTATGCTCTAACTGACTAAAGATCGTAATTTTCCTTTGACGATACTATTTGAGAAGTATGAGTAAATGGAGCAATTTATAGTAGTGAGTGAGACAGTTCAATTTGTAGAAGATGAGGACTTCGAAGAATATATGCCAAAGTATCTCCATCCTCATTTTAGAGATACTTCTACAAAGTAGAAGCACACCTTGGGTCAACGCATAAATACATCAATCATGCTATGGGTACATTACGGTATCCAATGAGGTGTCCAAAATGGACACCCGACGCCTCGGTATTGGCCGAGGCGCCTGCCACGCCGAGGCCCACCTACGCCTCGACCAATACCAAGGCGCCAGGTGTCCATTTTGGACACCTCGATGTACCACAAGCATTATTCTAAATACATTTCACTTACTCATCATGCATTTCATAGGAAAACTCTCCTTGCACAGCACCCTATGCACAGGGTGTGAGACGGGCGTGGACCCCACAGGGTGCTGTGCAAATAGCACAGCCGCATTTCATATATATTTAATAATTTAAATATAATATTCATTTTCTTTGTTTCCAAATATTATATTTGGTACGTAATGATAAAATTCATTACACATCTGAGTAAAATAAGTTAATTATTGCAATTTAATGAACTAAAATGTTTAATTAGCTAAAATATATAAGTATTCATGTGAGTGAAACAAATAATTGTCATAATTATTTAATTCAATTTTTACATTTTCAGCCATTTTAAATTGAAATATAATGTTTGGGAAGTGTTTACACGTGATTTAAATTATTAAATAAATATGAAATGCGTTATCTAAACGTCACACTTTACATCAAACAAGAATTTGAGTCAACTAACCATGTTTTTAACCCAAAAAAATAATGTTATCTTAGACATTCACATTTTAGGGATACGAAATGGGTGGGTGTTAAGCATCATTGTCTAGACCGCCATCAGCATGATCGTAATAAAAAATTTGCTCTCTTGTCCAGAATTTAATATCTGAATAAATTAAAGAAATCTAAAATAAAAGTCAAGAAAACTAAAATAACAAGAAATAATATATTCATAAAATCTTACCAAAATCACCAATAGAAGAGACAACTTTGACACCATCCTTGAATTGGAGATTTCTTGATTCTGAATTGCATATATTTCTATATATACCTTTGAAAAACTAATAATCCACTCTCATAAAATATGTAAAACTCCAAAATTTATTGAAAGTATAACATGGTAAGAGAATTGACCTCCTGCACACTGGGGCAGGATAATTCTTTACCCACTGCTGACGTGGCATCACCAGTCAAATTTCCATTTCATTTTCTTTAACTAATATTAATTAAGTTTTGACATCATTATTTATATTCTTGTGTTTTTCAAAAAAGTTCGATTCTTTCGTCTACAAGGCCTGGTTCTCACTAAATTCGGAGTAAAAATGTTGTAACTCGACTAATTTCGCACAGACTAGGAAGAGGAGCTAAGAACTTCCAATGAGCAATATCCATCAGTAAATAAGTGACCAACCAAATTTCTAGTCCCAACTAAGTTCAAATCACACCACAAGTTGATTGTAAAAACTTAATTTATCCAACAAAGTTCAATTCACACCACAATTTAATTGAGATATTAGTATCTCTATAGAACTAAACAATTTTCATAAAACCAGAAATCACAATATATGTTTTTAGGATTGCACAATATCCACATAATGATTACTCAAACAAGTATTTGAGTCAACTAATCATTACAAATCCAGGCTGAGAATGTTTAAAGCAGGAAAATGATATGATTTTTCATTGTCTTCATTCAAACTCGGTTGCTCGAGATTTGTCCGGCTATTAAAAATGGTTGATGGAGCATCCTAATTTGTTTAAAGAAGTTTGAGGGTTGGTTTCCGTCTATGAATTTTCTCATCTTATGATCATATATATAGTTTGTTCCTGTAGATAGTAAAGTATCAGTTGTTATTTGTTTATGCCATCCAACTATTTGATAAGGAGACCTTGTGATTTATTGCATAGGGATGATAAGGTACACATACTGCAAGTGGTGGAACTATTTTATTTGATTTCAATCTATTGAAGTGCATCCACATATTTTTAAATCTACAAATACAGGAATTTTTAAGAAAGTATAAGCTCTTCTCCAATATACCTCGAGGCTTACAATCTATTGCTAATCTATTTAAGCATGTGATTTGTTTCAGTCTTTTCAAAGTCGACGTTTATTTTTCAAGTTCTAATATATAATGGCATCTTGAATTCACACAAGTTGATTGTTGGTAGCATATACTGTGAATTCAAGATGATATTATATATTAGAAATAAAGGACTTGAAAAATAAAAGTCGACTTTTAAAAGACTTAAGCAGACCACAAATTACTTAAATAGATCAACAACAGACTCTAAGTCTCGAGGTATGTCAGAGAAGAGCCTATATATTCTTGAAAATTCCTCTATTTGTTGACCAAAAAATATGTGAAACCACTTCAATGGATTGAAATCAAATAAAATAGTTCCACCATTTATAGCAACAACAGTATGTGTACCTTATCATCCCTAAACAATAAATGACAAGCATAGGTCTCCTCCTCTAGTAGTTGGATGACATAAACAGATAACTCATACTGTACTATCTACGTAACAAACAAAAACAATGTATGATCATAAGATGAGAAAATTAAAATAGACGGAAACCAACCCTTAAATTTCTTCAACAAATCAGGATGCTCCACAAAACCGTCACCCATTTTTAAGAGCTGGACAAACTCAAAAAACTTAGTCTGGATTTGCCAAGAAGAGCAGGACAAACCTCAATCAACTTAGTCTCACTACTTGAATAAAGACAATGAAAAACCATGTCCTTTTCCTGCTTTAAACATTCCTCAGCTTGGATTTGCCAAGAATATTAAAATAAACCATCAAGTAACTAAATTTCCATTTCAAAAATTTTCCCCCTTGCCAATTGTGTGTGCATGTTTTATATTTTATTAACCTTATAATTTTCTTTTCTTTTTTTTTTTTGGGGGGGGGGGGGGGGGGTTTGTTAAAATGAAAAGGAATATTGATTTTTAAAATATAGTCTGAAAATGAATCCTCTAAGATCCAGTTCGAAGCCTTCCGACAATAATAAGCTGCAGTTTCATTAAGCAGTGCTGCTTAGAAATCCTTCTTAGAATGCTCTATCCGTCCCATTCCAATTTCGACCAATATATCTAACACATTCTTCAATAAAGCATGATCAATTTGCTCTCCTTCTAGCTCTTGATCAATCTACTAGAAGAAAATTGTTGACCACAGAACAAAAAATGCAAACGGAATGGAGAACAATTGTAGATCTCACAGATATCATACCAGAGATAAAATATGATCCCTTACTTTTGCATTTAACTCTTGGTATACCTGAAATTAGAATTTAGAACCCAACATTTCTTATAAACACAGCTGAAAACAGGATATGTAAAAGAGGGCAAAATATAAAAAATAAAATATGCAAGACACAAAAAGAACGAAGGAATGAGCAACTGCTTCTACTTGGTGGCAATTACCAGTTTCTCAGACAGCAGAGAGAGAAATTCAAAACAGAAACATATAAATAGGAGGTCGCTCATGGTAACTTCCATGTGCTTTTGTGCAACCTCATTCCTAGGAGGTCGCTCCCACCACTCGAAGAAGTCGGATTTCACACAATCGAAAGTTACCAGGTCTCCGAAGCAAGTGAGACCAACTTCTTTGAGTGGTGGGAGCAACCTCCTAGGAATGAAGTGCCGATCAAGATACTTGAAGAATCTTGAGAGCCACCTGACCATGATTTTATAGTTTGACCACTACTTCACAAGCTCCCTCCCTTAATATTAATTCATCATGTTTTTCTCTCAGTGGAGGCAGTACCTAAATGAAAAACAAAACACAAGGAAATGAAACATTTAGAGAAGACTGGTGATAACTAGAATGTTAAAACTAAACATGACACTGAACAACGAACAGAGGTAAATTAGATAAATAGGGATTGGTACTCTGATCCTAGTTTTCGAGTCCTAATGATTCATCCCAGAAATTCTATAGACCATTTATCAGTGACTGCATTGGAATGAAACTTAAGAACATACTTGAATACACAATGATGCTACAAAGTTTCCCAAAAGTTGTTCATTCCAGGTATTCATTTGAAATGGTTTTTGGGCACTCAAACCGGTCAAGGAAGGAAGAGAGGGAGGCTGGGATGAGGTTGCACAAAAGCACATGGAAAGGGAGGACGCATGGTGGAGCTATGTTAAGCATCCAAACGGTGCAACATCGGCAGAGCCTTTCTACTTCATGCACACAATACTTAGGGTTCGTTTGATTGCAAATGTGGAATTTGGGTGAAAAGAAAATGAATTTCAGGGAATTGAATTGATGAGAAATTATTTTTCTGAGAATTGTAAATTATTGTGTTTGATTAGTATAATTTTCCACGTGAAAAATGTTTAAATTAAAGTATTTTTTTATGTCCGTTTGACTTTGTTTTACAGGAAAATTGTCAATTAAAGGGATAAAATTTACTAATATTGGGAATGAAATTTGTTTCCATTGCCCAAAAAAAAAAAAAAAAAAAAAAATTTCATCTATCTTTGGGTGTTCATTTGATTTTGTTTTACTTGAAAATTGTCAATTAAAAAGAAATATTTTTTTCCAATAAATTTTAGAATTTGTTTCCATTACCAACACACACACACACACACAAAATAAGAAGAAGAAAAAAAAGACAAAATGCTACAGTAACATGGAATTCTGGTTTTCCTTAAAAATCAAGAAAAGATCAATTCCCGAGACAAGCAAGGCAATTCCATGGAAATAAAACCCTATCAAATACCATAAAATTGGAAAATTTTGGTGTATCAAACACAAGTTAAAACAGGACCCCCTACTTATATGCACACAATACTCTTTAAGTTAAAAAAGGACCTCCAACCCCCCCCCCCCCCCCCCAAAAAAATAAAATAAAATAAAAAGTAACAACAACAACACACACAGCATTAATGAGATATATTGGATGATTGAGTGTTGAGTTGATAACACAGCAAACAGAATAAAAGAACCCTTATGCATGTGGACGTTAGCGAATAGAACTGATAAAATGACATGTTACTGGCGCAAGCTCTAGGATTTTATAGGCTATTAAAACAAGGAATTCATCAATATTTTAGCATTTCAATGATCTGGACAAATAGTTAGGAACATCTCAAGAATAACCATCACAAAGAATTAAAATAAAAGAGTTATGGGGGAACAATGATAAACTCAGGATAGAATAAGCTTGAGACATGAGAGACCTATGTCAGTTATTAAGAAACAAACTGCAGCCCTGATTAGAATAGTAGGAACAATGAATTTTTTATTTTTTCAAAAACACCAATTGAGAAGTGAAAAAGAAATACGACATTACAACGTGCACTGTTGTCATTATGGATAAAGCATCAGCGTTCAGCTAAATTTTAATATATGAAATGTACAATTTGCATCTGTATGCAATAAACGCAACTTTGTCGCTACAACCAAATGAAGGAAATGGTCTTAGCCTAACCATTGATGTAATGTACTCTTCAAGCGACTCCCTGTATTTGTCATACAATTGCTGCTCACATTGGGGATTTTCAAAGCACATGCTATAAATTGTCCTGTAGAAAAGATTTAGGAATCTGAGAAACAGTACACAAGATAATCATCCCCAATGATATCAAACACTAAACTAACAGGATGGAGTATAAAAGATCATACGTATAGAGCATCATATAGTCCTCCGAGCTGAATTGTGGCCAGGAAACCCTTCCAAAATGTTCTTCAGCTTTGTGATTCTTTGCTGAATAAAGTCCCATCCCCGTTCTAGATCAATAGTGTTCCGCTGGTTCATTGTCATGTTTTATACCAGCAAAAGTTCAACAAATTAGAACGCTGCAATTCAGTTCTGGTATAGCCTACCATTGCCACAAAATAAACTAAATCAACAAAATACATCTAGACATCTGAAGTGACTTGATATCCAAACGATATCAATTCAGAAATATCACCAACAGAATTATTCAACCTTACACACAGAGCTTATCTATGACAGTAGTGTCCAATTTCAAATCCTCGTTTACACTGCTCACTTAATTCCCCATAATCTCTTCAAAAATCATCATGAAAATTTAATTTAAATAGTTCACAAATGAAGAAAAATGCTACTAAATAAACTGATAAAATAATCATAGATGTTAGTGTTTTTTATATATACTTCACCTACCTCGGCTCCCATCGTTCAACCCTTTACTCCTTTACTGAAACTTGACTGAACAACCATCCCACTCTACAATATTTGGTAAAGTATAATACTCAATATTATTGAATAAAAGAAGAATCTTATTATTTAAATTTATACATTCCCTTCTACTCACTACCGTTTAAAACAATATTTTCACAGTTTACAGAATTATCCAGTCATAATGGATTTTGTAACTAAATTTCTTTTATATTAGATCATGCTATGAGAAATGGTAATATTTTTTTTCAATTTTATTACCTCTTTCATATAATTAAACTAAAAACGAAATTAAAATAATACATCTAGACATCTGAAGTGACTTGATATCCAAACAAGATCAATTCAGAAATATCACCAACAGAATGATTCAACCACACATACAGAGCTTATCTATGACAGCAGTGTCCAATTTCAAATTCCCGTTTACACTGCTCACATAATCTCTTTCAAAATCATCATTTTAACCACCGCACCAAAATTTTTAAAAACTTCTGTGAATAAAGTTACCTTCCAGTTCCATTACGTAGTACCAAATCCATATTTACAATTTGAACTAAATTATTCACTTGTTAATATATTTTTAAGACTAACCTTTAGCAATTACATAAGCATGTCCAGTTTCAAGGGCAACAAATGAAGCGTGCATCATTGAACTTAACCAACATATGAACACCACGCCTAATTAAACTTATTGCGAAAAAAATTTACCTAAGAACATGCCCTTACAAATAATAACACAAAACCACATAAAGTAGAGAACCCAATCTAAACAAGTAATCCCCTCCACCTGCTGATTCCGGGTATGGCCTTGGTTTTCCCGGTCGGTCACAGGTTTGGCTGGAATTTGGATTTTCAGGTTCGGCCACTTCACGTAAACCGCGCGATTTGGCCTCTTTTAGTCGAATCTTGGCCGGAGAAATCCCACAAAGCTCTGATACCATATGTTGTGCAGAAGATGATGACCACCAAGGCTTTAACCGGGCTCAGTTTCTCCTTAAATCGACACCTCAAACAAAATCGACCCAAACCTCCTTCAACCTCTCCTCCACTTACAGTTGCTAGAGTTCACCCACTTAGAAAACCAAAGGTAAAAGCACAAAGAGAAGGCGGTAGAGTGAATGAATAGCAATAGGCAGAGAGCACAGAAGGGAAAGCAGCCGCTTTTCTCACCCCACGAAGAGGCGCAGAGGAAGAGTTCATTTAACCAAGTAAAAGTAAAATGGACGGTCACAACTAGGGCATAATAATGGGTCAAGGCCCGATAAATTGTCAAGTGGGCTGCTAATTGAATTTCCATTCCATGGCCGTTCAAACAATTGAAATCGGATCATGAGCAGCATTAATTTAAATTAGTAGAAATTACAAAGAACTCTAGTATTAAAATTTAGAGTTCAAAAATCAAAGGGGAGTTTAAGATTTCAATAATCATAAATTTTATTTTAATTAATACTTTTATAAATTAAATATTTTTACTAATTAACCCACCCAACCGATTTTCACACTAACCCTCAACCCTTTCCTCTTCACTCTCTCTCTACATCTTCCTTATTGTCGGATGAGGAGGCGATTTAGCAAGGCTTTTCATGGCGAAGGTCGGCTCCATTGAGGACGTCGACGTCTGATGTGGAAGATCTGCACGAGGCAACGCTGGCATAGGCACGAGAGCTGTTGAAGACAAAGACTATCCAAATTACCCGTTTGCCTTATCCATTCTCTCCCTTCACCGGCCGTCTATCCATTTCAGGAGCCCTTCACCGGCGACTAGTAGCACATAAGTAATATCTCGAAACCGATCTACGATCGGCGCGTGAAGTGGTGTTTCGTCGTCACCCTCCCACTATCCATTTCAAGAGCTAATCGCAGAAGCAATAGTTGCAATGCAGATCTACGACCAACACTTGAAGTAGTGGTGGCCGACGATGGAGAAGAAACAAAGGTGTGTTGCAATGGCGGGTATCGTGGCCTTCAGCCGATGATATTGGATCTGCAATTTTGGTTGTGTGTGGTGGTGGTGTGGTTGAGCGAAGGTGATGGCAGTGGTGGTGGTGGTGGTAGAATCCGGTGTCAGATTTGGGGATTTTTTTTTGGTGTGGGTTGTGGTGGTCGTGGGTGGAGTACGGTGGTTGTCGCAGTAGACGACGGTGGTCATGGCAGTGGGTGCGGTGGTGATGATGATGAGATGTTGGTGAACATAATCTATGGGGGGTGGACGTGTTGATTTGTTTGGGATCACGGAGGTGCTGTTGGAGGCGATGGTTGTCACAAGATTTGGTAGTGGTCACAGATTAATTGGTTGATTGTGACCATTAAATTGATTAATCTGTGACCATCAAATAATATGTGATCAATGAAAATTTTAATTGTAACCAAAAAAATAAAGTATGACATAAAAAAATATTAATTTTGTGACTGTCTAATAAGTTGTGATCTATAAAATTTGTTATTTGTGACTGATAAATAAATTGTGACGTATTAATTTTGGATCTATGATCGATGAAAAATTGTGACTTATAAAATTTTAGAATTGTGATCGTAAAATATTTCAAAATCGTGATTTGTGATTGAAAAATAATATATGACCAACTAAATTGTGAAACTGTGACCAAATTATATAGATATGTGACCTAAATATAATTAATTAATTAAATCATAAATAAATTTTATTAAATATTTGATATTTGAAAGTTTAAACTTATGTTCTTAATTTTAAAATAGACCATACTTATCCTCTTACTTTTGAATTTTTCCCTTTAAATTATGATGCTTCAAATGGCCCCAAAAATTTTGAGTCGTGTCATTTAATTTAGCTATCGATTCAACGTTCAATCATATGATTGATACAAGCTAAGAAAAATAAATTGAGTTACATCATAGTACGGAGAGGTCGTTTGACAATAATTTGCTTAACATGCAGAAAATTTTAAGTTAATATTTTTTACTTATAAGTAATTTTACAATTATACGTTAACTTTATACTTTAAATAATTTTAAATAAATTTCTTACTTGCAAGCAACATTTTTATATTTTATAAGTGAATTTTTTCTTATTTATAGTATTTTTATTATATATATATATATATACACACACACACACACACACACACATAAAGGTGCTTTTTCTTTTTACTTATAATTTTTAAATTATAATGTAATTTTTCTATCTTATAAGTAATATTTTAGTTAGAAGTATTTTTATTATAATGTATTTTATTTTTTTTGCTTATAAATAATTTTTTAGTTAATATATATCCATTTACAAGTTAGAGAGTGTTTGACACCCATTTTGATGGAAAAATGAATTTTAGAATGGTAGATTGATAGAGAATGTGTGGATGAAAAATAAGAAATTTTTTTTGATTTGCGTGTAATATTATTTTAGGTCCCGTTTGTTTTCCATTTTTGTAAGAATGAGAATGAAAAACATACTCATTATGGGCTCCATACAAAAGATAGAAATTCAAATTTGGTAACTTAATGTGATGAATAACAGTCATATTTTTCATTTTAATGGGGAAATAATGAGAAACAAATAGAGGCTTAATGAATAATGTGTGGTTGAAAAGAAGAGAGAAAAATGCTTTTTGAGAAAAATAGGAATCAAACAGGACATTAGTTTTGAAGAAAATATATTAATTTATATAGAGTAAAATGAGAAGAGAATATGATAAACGGTTAAAATTCGTCCATTTTGTAGGTTGAGAAAATTAGTCAAAATTACACTATAATTAAGTATCAATTTTTTTAATCCCTCATAAACGATGTCACCCAAAACAGGTGAAAAAAAAAAAAAAATCCTAATCTATCCCTCAGTGATTTCTGGTGAAAATATTGTTGTAAAACTTTTGATATAAGTTTATTTGTTATATCTCCCATTCCAATATTTGTACCACTCAAAAAAATGCCTACAGCTCGAGGACAGATCTAGCAATGAGCCGGATCAGCGGCTAGAGCTGGTATTGATGAATATGTATTATCGTTGTAACTCATTTGGTAGAGTTTTCTCTATGTGTGTTGGATGCAGGGTGTTCAACCCTTTCACGTTCACTCGTCCTTTTAACTTTTTAATATTTCAAAGAATACTAACTAATAACTGTACCAGCTTTCAACAAAACTGGGTATAGCTCATATGGTGGAGTTCTCAATTTGCATCCACGAGGCATGGGGTTTGATTCCAAGCACCTTCTCTTCTATATTTAACTTTTTAACATAGTAAATAATAACTAAACAATTATATTTTATTAGTTTCTGTTTTCGAAATTATTTCTTTAAAAAAATTTAAAAAAATTTGCTTAAACTTTGCCTAAACTCGGAACTTGTCTTTACCGTTCAATCATGATTTGGAAAACTTCATATTGTCTCACTTAAGTTCGTTAAAATTTGAAATTTGATCATATGATAGAAAAATAAATTTTTTCTTATTATTTTGGGTTATATTAGATTATATTCGCATATGTATATTAATTAAATTTTTTAAATATTACTTAATTAAATATTAATAAATAATCTCACTATTGCAATGGTCAACGATCGTCATAGCTCATTCAATATCATGAATTCAACATTGCCGCAATTGGCACCTAAACATTACATTTCAGATGATTAGTGTAGAAGGTGTATTTCCCGGTCACATTTTAAACATCACCAAAAATTGGAATGTTGTTGTCAATGCGAAGAGTAACCTGAATGTATCGTCTCTTCTCACATGGTATATCATTGAATCTTGATCGAACTGGGGTACAATGATAATAGTGATGTAATTGCGTTAGTGCAAGTGCAATAACAGTATTCAACATAGAAAAGATTAGTGGCAAGATGGTTATTGGCACAAATTGTCACATTCCTGCTTGTTGGAATAAGCAGTTTCTTTTACTTCCCTTCCCTTGGCTTTTAGAGAGCTGCCGGTGGATATGGAGGAATCATTGTTGACAAAAAGGAGATGTCATTTCTGCACCTTTTGGAATGCAAGATGGAGATATTACGCTTTTTATTAGCAATTGCTACATAAAGAGTCATAAGGTTGAAACCTGACAGATATGATGTATTTTTCTGAGTTCTTGCATTCCTGCTTTACAATGTAATCTTTGTGTCTCTGACTCAATGATTGTTGTTTTTGGGTAACTGGAGCTTAGAAAAGGTGTTGAAAGTGGAACTATTGTAACGCCCCAAATTTTATCGACTTAAAATTTTGAGGTGTTACTGATATCATTTCATAACGCATACATAAAGCGAAAATATTTAATTCGAAATTTAAAACTCTTGATTTATTTAATACTCAAATACCAAATTGAATAAACAAAATATCGCGTAAACATAGAACATTAAACAGAATTAAATTGAAACACATAATCCTAACAGAATTATTTTAAAACGTTTTCTTGCGAAGTTTTTCTTTACTTGGCAACCCGCGCACCGCTCAGCCACCATCCACGTTGACCGTACTGATCTGAAATATTGAAATTGAAGGAGTGAGTAATTACACTCAGTGGGATACGTGCGTCCAAACAATATAATTTAATTAAAAACGTAAACTCACAACATTTAATACCAACATTTCGTCAAGAGCAATCGGTGATCAGTCGAAAGCTCTAATACAATTTGAGAAGACCCGAAGGCGATCTCACATTTCACTTCATTTCGTAGGGACCCGCAGGTCGAACATTTCATTTCATTTCATTGGACCCGCAGGTCGATTAGCATTTCATGAAATAAATCACATCAAAAACTATAATATTGAAAGGACGGAACAATTCTGCACATAAAGTATCCTACCTCGATTGATAATAGAAAAGTAAGGAATTCACGTTCCCAAAACCTTTTTGCTGTTGTCGTGTCTTGTGGATTTAAGGTCGATTCAGTGGCAATTCCACGTGCCAAAATCCTTTCTAAGAGTATTAAAACCTGTTTCCGACAATACAAAGAGAACACTTCTGGAATGGAGACTTGGATAGGCAGTGGAGAGTTAAGTGAAGATGGAAGAGAGTGGTTTTTATCTCATAAATTTTCGAGGATTTGGAATGAATTTATAATGTAAGGGAGGTGTAAAATTAAGAAAGGTTTTGACTGCCAAATTTGTTAAAAATATATAAAGGGTAATTATGCAATCTAACCAACAGAAATCTTGTCAATTAGCTCATTAATCTGTCCAATTACAAAAACTCTTTGTTTGGATATCAATCAAATTAAATTAATTAGGATCTATTTAACATAAGAATGGTCAAGTTAGTGTCAATTTACATAAAATGACAGGTTATCATATCATCATATAAAATGAAATAAATAATTAAATAGTATATTATAAGCTTAATTGGACTATATGCCCAAGATAACTAAATTTGTTAGAGGCCCCAAATCGTGTCTTACCATTATTCAAATTCAATTAGCAATTAAAATTAGCCTTTGAGAGTTGGAAATGTGCGTGCACGTGAGGCTACCCATACTCTTATCATAAGGAAATTTACCAATTCTAATTTAAAGGCAATTGACACAATTGAGAGTACAAGGTATGATTGCCATACATCATGCCTAGAGGCTAGAGATTGTCCAAAAATATTATTATATAATAACCAATTCAATCAAAGCTAGGCCTAAAAACGTGTGTCATCTTAGAATGGTCAAAAAGTCATAAATGTTAAATCAATATTCTAAGTAGGATTCCAAAATCAAAGCAAATGAATTTTTAATCTAAGAGAAAATTATTTGATCCAAACATCAATCAATCATAGTTAAATAAAAATATCTCTCCCTACATATTACTTTGCAAACTACTTAAATTACGAGTACCAGAAAATTAGAAATATTGGCAGATAAATGTAAACAAGGATTAAAAATAATTAAATCTCTTTCTCTAATAAAAAAGATAAACATTGATTATTATGATAAAATACTAGCTTCTTTTCCTAATTATCTTAAAAGAAATATTGTTAAATAATAAAAACGATGCTTATTATCTATATTTATTTGAATTGAAATAACTTAGTTTTAACTTAAAAGAACTCATATTTTCTTGAGCTGAAAATACGTTATTAAATGCGAGCTACAAAATGAGCCCAATATTGATATACTTATACTCATTCTATCAAAATGTAATTATTGGTGCCAAATAAAATATGACTTTAAACGCTATTTCATTTCAGTCCTCAAATTTTAAAACTATAACATATAAAACAAATATATTTTTATTCCAAAATTTTCGGGGCGTTACAACTATTCTCGGAACTCCCAATGGCGTTCTATTTAATGGACTAAGCCCTTGCAGGTTTGATGAATATCTTATGCCAGATGGTATTACTTACCAGATAATAAATATTGATCTGACATATCTTTGTAGCTTTACATTTTGCTGGTTCTTAAATTTGTGGTATAGATGTGCTTTTACACGTTACTGCAACAAACTTTCCTATATTTCATTATAAGGACAATTTAGGCATCCATGGCATACCATCTTTCCTTGTCAACACCTTCAATTATCTTTTTCTTCTCATCGATCGGAGGGAGAGAGATCTGCACTTCCATGGCAACAGTTACAAGCAGATAATGTATATGAAAACAATGCAATAACATTAGAATTTATTTCACTTCGTATTCCTCTTTTTATTTTACCATCGGGATCAAAACATAGTCTGTCACTCAATTGATATCAAAGTTTTATTTTATTCACAATATTTTATTTATTTTTCAAATGGTAAATGAAGTTCACTTTTTGTTTTAATCGATTGAACTCCGTTAATTCTTTTTTTTTTTTAAAATTTCCAACATGGAAGACAACAATCTAATGTAGCATCAACATGGAGGTTTGAGTTAGACATTCCGTTAGAGATTAATAGATTTTTACTGAGGATCTAATTATCTCTCCCACTTGGCTTTCGGGGGAATGGGGGTTGGGGTGAATGATTACCTTGATTCTTCTCATTTTATCGGTAAACTTGGAGTTGAATTCAAAAACATCAGTCGAAGAAACTGTTTTGGTGTTCGGCTCCTTGTTAATAACAACAGCATCGTCTAATATATTCAACTGGGTCATTTTTTCCTTATAACTTAATCTATCTGAGGAATTGAACAGAAGCAATACACCAACCTACAAAAAGGGAAAGAATTTTCAATCATCAAGTAATATCAATTACAAGTTAGTCATACTAAATCACTTGGTGGGTTGTCACGATCAACTCTATAGTTCTTTGTTCAAATTTTCTGTTGACGTTACAAGTACCCAAAGAATATATCTGAAGGAACCCTAGGAACATTTCAAAACCATCAAAAATCGCAAGACTAAAAAACAAGATTTGTAGATCTGAAAAACAGTAAAGAGAATACAAGTGATTTTTGGCCGAAGCCACGAGGTTTAGCGATTTATCAGATCGCCTACTCCACGTTGAGCATCCATGAAGGAATAAGCTCGAATTCACTAAAAAACATCGGCCAAATTACAGCAATTTTGAGCTACAAATGGAACACACGGTTCCAGTCACAACGACAACAAATCCCCTTAACAACACGAAGAACTCACACAAGAGTTCATAACATCACGCATCCTCTCAACCAACAAGAAAGAATCGACAAGATTCAAGATGAGAGAGCCAAAAACACAGAGAGAAATTTTAACTCAAAAATGAAGGCCGCGTAAAATGAGAGCAACACTAACCCTAGGCATTATTAGTTTCTTTTATATGAAAGAAACAAATAATTTGATCCAATGGTCCAGCAATTGCCAAGTGTCAAGATCAGGTGAGAGTCGTTTTTCACAACTAAAAAAACGTGTTTTCCTTTAACCAAATGAGCTTCTAGATTATTCTTCCAGTTGGGCCATTTAACCGGGTCCTGGGTTGGGCATATTAACTTTGGGCTTCACAAAGGCAGCAACCCAATTTCTACATTCTCCACCTTTGCTGTCTTTTGTGCTTGTTTTGTGGATTCAAAACTCAACTTCATTTCATTTGCTCTTATTACCTGTAAAAATAAAATAATAAAAATCAGTCTTCTTCAAGATTTATTAATCTTAAAGAATCAAGAAACCTACTAATAGGGATTACCTTAGTTTCGACATCTGCTGGATTTACCTTAAGTAGGTATTTTGATCAATCTAATATCACCCCTACCAATGATATCTCTAATAAATTGGAACTTTACATCTATATTCTTGGATCTATCATGCAAAATATGATTTTTACTTAGAAAGATAGCACTTTGGTTGTCTGAACATAGCTCCACCTGATTTTCTATAAGTCCTAATTCACTAAGTAAACCCTTTAACCATAAACCCTCATTAACTGCTTCAGTTGCAACAATGTATTCAGCTTCAGTTGAAGACAACGCAACCAATTTTTGAAGCTGAGATTTCCAGCTAATGCATGTATCATTTATAACATAAAAATATGCAATTGTAGACTTCCTAATGTCTGGGTTACCAGCGAAGTTTGAATCTACATAACCCTTAAGTCTAAGTCAATTTTTATTAGTTTTGAACATTAAACCTAAGTTACTAGTTCCTTTCAAGTATTTAATCAAATTTTTCATGCATTGCCAATGTATTTCACCTGAGTTACTCATGAATCTGCTTAACACACTCACAGCATAAGCGATATCAGGTATAGAGCAAATCATAACATACATTACAGATCCAATAGCATTAGAATATGGAACATTCATCATTCTTTTATGTTCCTCTTCAGTTTTAGGTGATTGATCAACAGATAATTTCATTCCAGCAGATAAAGGTAAGCTAACAGGCTTAGATTCATGAAGGAAAAATATTTTAACAACCTTATCAACATAAGATTTTTGTGTTAGAAACAACTTTCCATTTATTCTATCGCTTTTTATTTCCATGCCCAAAATTTTTCTAGATGGTCCTAAATCTTTCATTTCAAATTCAGATTTCAGATTTTCTTTAATTAAGTTAAGCGCAATAGAATTATAACCAGCAAGGAGCATGTCATCGACATACAAAAGCAAATAGAAAAAATCATATTCACCTTCTTTCTTATAATAGAAACATGGATCATATTCAGATTTCTTGAAATTTAAACCTTGTATAAAAGAGTCAAATATTTTATACCACTACCTAGGGGCCTGCTTTAGGCCATATAAGAATTTCTTTAAGAGACACACTATGTTTCCCTTTCCTCCACTTCAAAGCCTCTTGGTTGAGTCATATGTATGGTTTCATCTAAAGAGCCATACAAGAAGGCAGTTTTCACATCGAGTTGTTCTAACTCCTAGTCAAATTGTGTCACTATAGCAAGTAGGACCCTAATGGATGTATATTTAACAACCGGTGAAAAGATTTTAGTGTAATCTATTCCTTCCATTTGGTTAAAGCCTTTAGCTACAAGTTTTGCCTTAAATCTTTTATCACTAGCTTTAGTCTCACCCTCTTTAATTTTATAAACCCATTTATAATCAATCAATTTACAATCTTTGGGTTTTTCAACTAGAGTCTAGGTCTCATTTTTAAAGAGTGAGTTCATTTCATCTTTCATCGCAGCAATCCACTTAGGGGATTCTTTGGAAGAAATAGCTTCTTCATAAGAGGTTGGTTCTATGTCAAACTGATCAGATCAGATTCAGTTTGATCAGATGCAAAATTAGCATACTGATATCTTGAAGAAGGTCTTATTTGCCTCCTTTCTCTATCTCTAGCAAGCTGGTAGCCTTGTAGGTCATGTGCAGGCTCCAGATTCTGTTCATCTTCCAATATTTCAACATAAGAGACATTCTGTGGTTATACCTGATGTGGCTCCACCTTAAACTGAGCCTGGTCATCAGTATTTTGACTATCAAAATTAATTTCTGTGATAATAAAGTCATCTTTTCCTAATTTTTCACCAAATTTGTCACCAAGACAAGGGAAATCATCTTCATTAAAGATAACAGATCTGCTTGTTATCACCTTATAACCCCTCACATCTCTTAACCACAATCTATAGCCTTTAACACCTTTTCCATATCCTAAGAACACACCCGTCAATGATCTAGGGTCCAATTTTGACTCAGTATGATGTGTATAGGCTACACATCCAAAGGTTCTTAGGTGAGAATAATTTAGCATTGAACCAGACCAAATTTGTTACGAAAATTCTGTTATTTAGAGAGTTGGAAGGGCATCTAATGATAAGATGACATGCTATTTTTACAGCTTCACCCCAAAAAAATTTTGGAAGGCCAGAACTGATTAGCATATATCTAGTCCTTTCAAGAATTGTTCTATTTAACCTCTCGACAACTTCATTTTGTTGTGGAGTAAAACTCACAGTTTTATATCTCATTATCCCTTGTTTACTGCAATATTGGTCAAATTTGGTATTACAAAATTCAAGTCCATTATCAGTTTCTAAAATTTTTATCTTTTTACCAAACTGATTTTCAATTAGTACATTCCATTCTTTGAAAATTGTAAAAGTATCAGATTTAGATTTTAGTAAGAAAACCCATGTTTTTCTTGAATAATCATCGATTGTAAGAAGATAATATCTGTACCCAGATACGAACGGGTGCAGGTCCCCATAAATCAGAATGTATGTATTCAAGGACATCTTGGGATTTGTGCAGCCCTACCTTAAAAGGCAGTCTGACTTGTTTTCCCATGATACAGTGTTCACAAAAAGTCAATTTTTGAACAATATCCTTCCCAAATGCCCCTTGATATGATAGTGTTTTTAAACCTTTTTCACTTAAGTGGCCAAGTCTTTTATGCCACAGTTCTGATTTATCGGGACGTGTGACAGAATTCACAGAATTTTTTGGTGAAATAATTTCAGCATCTATTCCATAGATTCCATTAAACTTAGGTGAACTGACAATGAGTTCTTGATTTCTTGTTATATTTGTAAAGCCATTTTTAATACCAATTTGATAATTTTCATCATCAAGAACTCCTAGGGATATGAGATTTCTTCTAAGTGCTGGTACATATCTTGTATGTTTGAATAACATGTGATGACCATTTTTAAATTTTAATAGCACATTTCCAATTCCCTTCACTTGGCATGACTCATCATTCCCAAGTTTTACAAATCCTCCATCCAGACTACAAAAGTCTTAAATGCAGCCTATATTGGGTGTCATATGAAAAGAACAACCTGAATCCAGGACCAGTCCTGATCAATATTTTCAGATAGAGACACATAGGCTACTCCAATATTTGCTCCCGCTTCTTTATAATTAGCAGCTGCTGCTAAAGAAACATTTTCAGTGTTAGATCCATTCTTTTGGTCATTTACCTTTTTAAAACAGTCTTTAATAAAGTGACCTGTTTTTCCACTGTAAAAACATTTTCTGTTACTATTGCTATTCGCTTTTCCTTTAATTGGTTTCTTGTCTTTTCCTTTGGTGTTATTCCATTGCCTTTTGTTAAAGTTTTTCTTCTTGTTAAAATTGGAATCACTAAAATTACTTACTCCTTTAGCATATAGTTTTTGATTTGATGACACACCCCCAACATGGTACACTTTTTTGTGTTCAGATTTTAATTCAAGTTCTTTATTCAGAAGAAAACTGTGAATTATTTCAACAGTGAGATCACTTCTACCATATTTTAGAGCATTTCTTATATCTTTATATTTATCTCCTAGAGCATTAAGTAGGCCAACTACCTTCTGTTCATCAGAAATTTTCTCATCACAGTTTGCTAAGTCTTGTGTAATCCTATTAAACCTATCCATATTATCTCCCATATCAAGATTAGGATCAAACTTGAAACTAAAGAACTATCTCTAAGGAAAACATTTATTTGGTATAGTCTTAGTGAGATAGTGTTTTTCTAGGGCAGTCCATAATTCTACAGCAGTTTTAGTTTCTTCTACTTTTCTAATCACAGCGTCAGACAAGTGTAGGAACAAAGTGCTCCAGGCTAGTTTATCTTGTTCAATTTTCCTAGCCTCAGATAAGGTTTCTGGCCAAGATTCATCAATAGCCTTAGCATATTTTAACTGTAACAAGAGTGCTTTTATTTTCTGACGCCAGAGACTAAAGTCTCCTTTGTCATCCCAAATTTGGACATCTACCTTAGAGTTCATGGTATGTTATAGTGTGAAATTGTTCACAAGTAGTAATTCAATCAAACAGTATATCACAACGATTACTGTCTTATTATACCAATTTTAGATTATATATGGATTGTGCTTTAGTGTGATGTGTACAGAATTATTACAACCAAATTAAGACACATTCAATATTCAGATCACTAAGCATGCAATGAATTTAATTACATAAACTTATACACAGTAAGTTACAAAAAATTGTAAATGCTATGTATGTACCTTTGAAGCAATTATTCTTAGGCAATTCAACACCTGAGAAGATCAATTTGAGTATTAGTACAGTTCACATAGAATGTACAAGAATTTAACTATGGAAATATAATTTTTGGTTTTATTATCCATAGACAGTGAGAATTTAAAAAAAAAACAGTTTTGAAGATTACAGGTTTCTTGAACCGAATCCCTAATCCCCAAAGTTTCTAGGGTTCTCTCAGGAAACCCTAGACAGAGGTAGAGTTAGAGGAGGTTCTGTGAAACCCTAGTTTGAAAAATGATTTTATTACCAAAATAATACTTCCAAGAACTAAATGTACCAACAATACAATACAGAAACTGATTAATCACAAATTCAACGTCTGTAGACTACAGGTATCGCAAAACAAACAAGAAAAGT